ATTAATCGCTGTTGGCATGCCATGCTTCAGTAATATGGATTTTTTATCGCAAACGCTAAGGCTAGGAAAAAAAGGCAAAGTCGATAAAGAAAGACACAGAGAGTTTTAACCAAACATGAAATAATAAACTTGAAGGAAGAATTTAAAAAGATTGTTGAAAGTAAATAACTAAAAAAAAAACGTTTAAATTCGAGAAACAAAATCGTACGAGCTTTTTTGTAGTGGGAATACATTTTTAGTATAAATAATTTTAAAACCGAGAACGACTTATTGTATTGTAATGATAGAAATTTTTTTAAGTAATTTATAAGGGAATAAATTTGGGTATTAAAAAGTAGACATAAATTTTTAAAAATAATTGAACAATTTAACACAAATTTTGAGTATTCTACAAACTAGATATATTTAAACTCTTCTAAATTTTGAAACTCAACATAATTTCTTGGCGCATTAGAAACTTGAAATATTTTGGTTAACAAAAAAAAACTGAACAGAAATTTTTGGAAATTTAAAAGGTGCACATAAATTTTTAGAATTTTGTATAAACGATGATTTGTATTGACAAAATTTTGTTGGTAGTTTGGGGTTGCTTAGGTTGGCTCGGCTGAGCTATGAGATCTCGCATATACCACATAGTTGTTGGTCCTTAGAGTTATAAAGAAAAAGGAAGCACATGCTTAACACCTGCTCATAAATCCACTTTTTAGTGAGTTTTACCATTTTTGGACCACCTTTGGTCTAAAATTTCCCTTAATGAAGAGAACAAACCAGAGCTAAGTTAGTGCATATATCCTATTCCTGTATTATAGAACAAAAAGCGAGCTTGCCATTATAGCAACTACTTTCTTAATGGCTGCCCGATCGTCGATGAAATTATTTTCACGCTAGGTTTGAAGAGTTAGAGCCTCTGTCGATATCTAATATGACTCTTCAAGTCCAAGCTCAGGATAGGTGGTTGGATCGAAGTCTCTTTTTCCACCCGTTTTGCTCTATTATTACGTATGGCTCTTGTCTAAAGCTGACCTGAGAAACGACATTGTTTGTTTTACTGTATAGCTTAAGCAAATTGCTGTGGTCAAATGACTACATATTTTCTTAACGTCCCTGTTACCTTTGGACTCAGTGGCGAGTTTTCTGCCTCAATTCTTCGCAACTTGGTCTATAGGACGGGTTTACATTTTTCTTTTCTTGCACCTTGGAAGTAGTTCGAAAAGTTTAAATTATAGTTCCGCAAGCCCTTTTACACTCTCCAACCTTTTGACTTATAGCTATGTATTATACGAAGGCACCATGCAACATTCTTGTGAATCGGGCTGTTGGTATCCCTATTTTACTGTTTATTTTCGCCGGGATCATAAGACTCTCGTTCCTTCATGCGTTTTACCGCCACAGCTACATTTTCCCACTCACTCTTCACGCATATTTACAGCGAGCCTAGCCCGCTGTTCTTTAGGCTGTATTAAGCTCATTTAAACCACATTAAATAATTTATAATGTGGTGGCGAGAACACAACGCATTGCGGTATTTTAATGAGTTTTGCCTTTTGGCCCACAAAGGCAAAGAACAAAAAATACGAAAGTCCATAAAAAAAATCAACAGAAAAAAGTTACGTAAATCCAACCACAGCCCACAAAGAAATTAAAAATATTGGCAAAAAACACGTCAGATAATAGCAACAATATACAGCATCATAATAATGCTTAAAGCATAATAACCAACAACAGCAAACAAAATAGTTATAAATCTCATAAAAAAACGACTCAGATTACAACGCTCGCGCCAGCGTGTACGAAAATTACCGTGAAATAGAGATAAAATGCTCATTGCGAGCAGCCGAAGGTATTAAATTAAAGCAACAACACGCAGCGGCAGCAAAAATTAAGCCATATATGTACTATATATGTATATGTAGATAAGGTAAGCAAAAATATAAGTTAAATAAATTAAGAAAAAAAGGCTCGCGTGTAATCATTGCCCACACCAACACCAACACCGCCACCTCAGCTCCCGCTTAAGCTAAACAGATATAGTAATTAACCTAACCAGCTTTACAACGCTGCGGTCGTAGCCGGCTTTTAGGCCTTAAAGGCCAACGCACGCAAACTCTGGTCAATAAGCCGTCAAAGCCGTTATTGTTGTTGTTGTTGCTGTAACTCAGCTCATTGGCTGGTTGGTTGACTGACAGACGCTTTTGTCTATATTTGAACACACGAGTTCGACTTCTAGGTAGGCTCGTGCACACATTCATGCCTAAGTGTATGTGAAGCAGTTTGTCGCTACTTATAATGACGGTCAAAAGTTAAATTTTTTATGATAATCGAATCGTCGAGTCGATGGCAACGAATGTAAATTTTTATTAATGACTCAATTGCCGCCAAATCTGTTGGATGAAATCTGAGCTGTTTTTATGGGGGACTTAAGATGCTGGAGTAGACATATGTACATTAGGGTGGTACAAAAACAGTAACAAGAATAGGACGTTCCCTAGTGCGCTGATGAATCATTTACGAATAGCTTAAGCGAATCTGAGTTGATGATATACCATCAAAACCAGGAAGGATAAATATATTTGGTATACTTATGGCTACAAGATTGATGATGTTGTCGGTATACAACCTATATCTGAAGTTCATGTCATTTTACTATGTCTGACAGAGTATGCGGTATACGACCAACAAATACATACTTCTACATAAGCTCTGACAGCAGGGTGGTGCTTCTCGCCACGGTGGCTCACCTTAATGCTGTTGTGGGACTGCTTTCAGCACTTAAAACTCATCGCAGCCAAGAACTAGGTTTACTTCAGTTGTGTAAAGGGGCATAGTATAATCATGGTCAAGTAAGTGACATGCATTTTCGCCTGGAAATGGGTTGCACTGGGATGGGATCCATACGCACAGGTCCTTTCATTGGTCTGCGCTAGAGCTGCTTTTGGCCAAAATGCTATGCATGGATGCAAAAAGGAAGCGCAACACGGAAATATGGAAGGCAACAGACTGATAAAATGCTTCATTAAGGAAATATAAACAAATCATTCCTTCCCCGTTTTAAGACACGAAATAAGGGTTACAGGTTTCCTTACTGGCCACTGCAGGATAATGAAGTACTTATTAGCCTGTGAGCTAAATGCTCCGACCAGTGCATATCGTGAAATCATTAACGGGACGCATGTGCCTGGCTGAAAATTAAAATGGGCGTAGAACCGACGCTATTAGGATCAAATATTTTACAAGCAGGACGACACGAAATTACCCAATCCCGTCGACGACGGTTGCAAGTACACTGCCTGGCCTACGTTACATCCAAAGAATACAAAAGTTTCCTTCTAGTAGCGGTTGTTGACTACAAGCAGCATGAAGAGCTTTACATGAAAAACTTTATGCCTTTCGCAGGAATCTGTATTTTTGTGAAATCAGGATGTACAGCTCAAATTAGAGAAGAAGCTAGACCAAACCGTTTGTAAAGCATATAAGCGGCCAATATTAAAAATTTTTAGTTATGGTATTTTTATTATTGCACTGCGGAATAAGGACCACATTTGTTTAGTTCCATTAATAAATGAAAATTCTATTTTCATCCAACAAAATAAAATTTTATGTATGTATGTATGTATGTAAAATTGTAAATAGCACAAAATGCAATTTGAAAAATTGAGGAAAACTCCATTTCGACACAAATGACGGCAAACTGATTGCAATGAGTTTTTTATTTGCACAAAATGGTTTTCCATTCAAATTTTCATCAAATTTATTTCATTTACTGCTTTCAATTTACTTCTCATTCATACAGTCTTCTCAGTTTTTTATCTCTTTTTTAATTTTTTTCCTTGTAACTACCCTCCCCAAAATTTAATCAAATTAAATCTAAATATGTTATGTGTGTGTACTCACCTTCAACTTTGGCCAATGCCAGCACCGAAATTGTCTGCAACGCCGGTATCGCCCAAGCGACCAAATGAAATAAATGCGATTTATTTTCGATTGCCTCATGACCCCATTTAAGGCCAGCGGCCAAAAACCAAGCGAACGCCAAACATGACCACCAGGCAAAGGCGGCCATGCAACAAAAGTAGAGCGCCATAAATAAAACGGTACATGCGGTGGTTTGCCGATGGCCCTGGAGGCGAGAAAAAATACGAAAAAAGCAAAAAAAAAATATAAAAAAGTAGATCAATTACTGAAGTGATGAAAAATTATGCAAAAATGGGGATTAATAGAAAAAAAACGTCCAAAAAATATTTTTCACATAAATCATTTGAATGATTAGGAAATACACATATTTTAAGGGGCTGATGAATTGAAATTGTGTTATTATTGCGAATGCTAAGAAAAGAATTAGATGAAAAAATAAAACTAATCTCTTTTGATAAGTTAAAATATTTGAATTTCCGTGGTTTTTTTATTTCCTTTTTGGAAGTCTTATATACTGCATATTTAAAGTTTGAAATATTTACTAGATTTTTTAATGCAATTACTTTAATATTTTTCTGTTTTTGTAGAAATTAATCTCTTTCTTTAATAAAATTTGCATTCCTCCATTCAGTTACTCACCTGCGTTATTGTCGACATCATTTGCAACCGCCCTAGACGCACTGGCGGCGGAAAGGGTTCCCGACACGCCACCGAATCGCCCGCTCCCAAACCGGCAACATACGCGCAACCCACAACGAGATAACAAACGGCTAGGAAAACAATGGCACGTTCCGGATAGCGAAAACGCGACGAGTCAATGAGAAAGGTCAGCACCTAGTCGAGAGAAAGAGTAGGTAGAAAGATAAATGATATCATTAGATTAGCTTTCATGCTTTGTTATGCGATTAACTACGCTCATGTATGTATGTATGCATGTAGGGTATGTAATTTTAATTAACTAATTTATGCTGCTGTCAGAGAGACGACTTAATAACTTAAGACTGTACATAGTTGATTAAATCAGTATTCAGAGATAGAAATCATAAAATTAAATTACACATGTATATACCTTCATATATTAAAATGTATTATACAATCTTAGCTTATAATAAAAAAGGGAGATTTCTACTAAATGACACTTTTAGGGCAATTCTGGCCAAGATAGTAAAAAGTAAAAAGGCTTGCGTAAGACTTTTGTTATTCTAGCACAAAATTTTTAAGCAGGGATCGCACGATTTGTAGATTTTAACAAAATCTGTACATTTTGAAAGTTAAGACAGTGTCACACGATTGGGCATTTACCCAAAATTTGGTGCAAATTTTTTCTTTATCCCAATCACGAAAACTAATTTGTTCAAATTTTTCTATAGAAGTTCACTGCATTGTACCAATCGTGTGACTACAAAAAAATGTGGTCCCAATTTTTTTTGTAATAATATAATAATATAAAAACTGTGCAAATCAGAACAAATGTACCAATCGTGTGACATGGCCTTTAGAAAAAAAGCCCTTTCACTCACCACACATGGTGAAAGGCTATTTTGAGGAAAGCACTTAAATAATAATAAAGTCATACAGCGTTGTGTCTAACGCCGTCTAGAGTTATACCGAACAGTCATACCAAAACAAGAGATGTGGAATTAGTTAGGTGTCGAACAGCAACAATGCCAATTTGGATTTCGTGTAAGAAGCACAAACATAACAGAGCGAGCATCGACTTCTGATCAATACGAAATTACCATAATATGCGTCCCGGGACCTAATAACAGTACCGAGACAGCGGACCAACTAGAAAGGTGCGGCTGCTCACTGAATGTATCCCACGCAGTGGATATGTGTGTCTTTTTCAGAGAGATCAAGGGCAGAATTGCAGAAATTTATCACTCGAAGGCTAGACAGAGGTGGAACCGCGCAGCATCGTAAAGGATTAGCCAGAAGTTCGGGGTGTCCTACGACCCACCTAAAACCAGGGCTGCTTTAGGAATGAGCAAAGAAAACACCTATAAACTTACGGTAGTCTCCACTGGGAACTGGCACGTTGGGCTACATGTCAAAAGGACTGGCTTACGCCTCAATAGGAATGACGAAATGTACGAGCAATCGCGTAAAAATACAATATTACTCTGGCTTTACGGTGTTGAACGCATGGATAATGACGCTCTGGTGAAAATATCCTTCGAAACGTCTGCACTCAACTGACGTAAATCCACAAATGAGGGAGGTGACTGGCTACAGAGAGTAATTTCCCCTATGCTTAGACCCATTGTGTTTCCATATGCAATATTCGTTCACCACGAGTGGCCTTCTGGAGAGCTAGCATTTCTGCCGGGTGTTCCAGTTCAGTCGAGTTGGTATGGTAATTTTATAGTTTTTGGTGAAGGCATTCGATTGTATACGGTGCTCAGTACTTGCATGATTTTCGTGTGGCCGGATGCACCATTAGTTCAGGATCCAGCCCACCGAGTCTTAAGGTTGCAATAACGGCTATCTATGTAGCAATTAAATCAAACGAAGACAGATGTAGAATCGCATTCAGAGCTTCAGGAGGTGAAGAGCACTGAGCTCCGCTCATGCCTTTTTTGTACCCTTTGGAGTTGTTTCAGCGATATTGACTTACTATGGGTGGGCCGCCAGACTAGGGCTCCTTAGAGCATGAACGGACTCATATTTTCTGTGTAGATGCATTGAATTGTCCTAGGTGAGAAAATCCATGATATACCAATTGCCTTTTCATAGATAAAGAGCGCTGTTGGCATAAAGAGCAAATGAGCCTAACCAGAAATGTATCCACTCGCAGGCCCGTCAGAGCCGAGGTAATCGCATACCGGAAAACATTGTTGAAAGTCCCTGCTATGTCTAAGAGTTCCACTACTGCAAATTATATCATTTATATCCAGATCACGAGAATGTACCCGAGTCTTAAGCAGCTGAAGAATATGGTTTTTAGCGGTCCCTGGTATATCGCAGCTCACAAGCAAAGAATGGGCAAGACTGCAAAGGTTTCATAATAATAGTATAAATTAAATTTTAGAGCAGTGTAAATCAAATAATTATATTTAATTTAATAAAAAAAATTATTTTTCCATTTTATAGTCGCCCATTATTGACTCTCTATGCAAGTCGATGCACATATGTACCTTCTTCTTTTCAATTAAATTTTGCAATTGAAAGTTCACATCCAATAAGTTTCATAATCCACACATACATATGTATATATACATTTAAATACATATGAACTTCATGGATGTGCTTGAGGCTTTTTACACTAACTCTTTCTCATATTAGTATTGTATTACCATACAGTTCAACCGAGGACATCGCACCTATCTTCCTGGTAAGAAACACCATTTATGTAATAAAAAAAAGCGCCATCACAGAAAAAAGCAAATGCAACGGTGGGTACTTTTTTATAGGCACACAGACTAACATAAGTACATACATATGTAAGTTACTACTATTCAGCATGTAAGGAACAGTAAAGCTGCTTGGCAGGAGTGCTAGCAATCAGCAATGGTTTTGTATTTAGTCAACAACGTCAGAGTTGTCATTCATAGTCATTTCACTGATTGGTGACGGAGTTGACATTTGTTTGAATGCAGCATTCATCTGCTGTTGCTGCTGCTAAAGTTGGAGTTGCGAATTATGTTGGTTGGTGTGTATTCTTTTTTGAATAAATAGTTCCTCCTATGCTGTAACGATATAATCTTATCCACATAATTATCAATGTACGCGATAATGATGTTGTTGCACCCTGCGAAGCTGTGACCAATGCTTTTGCTGTTGTCTGTAGTGACTTTGGCGACGCCAGCCTTATCTCTCAGTTGTGCTGTAGCTGGTGACATTAGAAAAACCCCGTTACCACAGCCGTCAAAGCGTTTGCTATCTGCTTTATCTGTTGCTGATAAAACCAAAGTCTCCTTCGGTGCGCTGCTGCTGACTTTATACTACTCTTTCAAGCTTTTATGGTTTTCCACACTACATTATGGTATGGCATTTCAGTTGATGACTTTTCTTAATTACAAATCTAACATCCTCACAGTTTTTGCGAAGTTTGTCACTAGCAGTGATAAGTTTGGGTAATGTACATACATATATATGAATATACATATATAAAGCGGGCTACGAAGGTGGGTCGATAAGTACTGTGTTTTAAAGAGTGGAAGGTTACTTATGCCAGAGGTAATATAATAACACAGCAGGGGGCAAAGTTTTCTAATTGTTGCTGAATAGAGACTTCCAAAAAACACGTCTCATCAATTTTTTATTTGATATTTTGATTGATATGCGATTTTAAGGACTATTAAATAACTATGAAGGCATTTAAAAACTTTGCACAAACACTCACGGAAAAAAGTATTGGCACAAACTCAGGAAAATTTAATAAATCTTCAACTTTTTAATCAGATTTTTTAGGTATTTTTTGAGTATTTTTATATCCAAGTTAGAAGTTGGTAAAAAATCGCGTAGATGTTTGAGACTTTTTTATTTTTATTTTATTTATTTTTTTGATGAAGGCGTTTCACATTTTTCCCCATACAAAGTATTTTCGAAAATTTTGTTTATGGAAAAAAATCATTAAAAAATTGCCAAAAATCGCTGTACCGCATCGTATGGGATTACCAGCCAAATGTGGAATACCTAAGAATCGGGGCTCCGATGGAATAGGTACCTTGTCGCAGTACGAGGACTAATCTAAATAGTCGTTCACTCAACTGCAGGATCGGATCACCGTTGAGCCTTGGCTAGCCAAGAACTGCCAACCCCGAACCAAGGGTGTTATGCATCGACTGTTCGGAAGATCTTCAGTAAGGGAATCCACAACCTCGGATGTATTATAATGGGACTTCCTGGCACCAGGCCGCATCCGGACGTAATGACGGCCTAACACTGAGTCCGCCTTGTCGGGCATGTGGTCGTATGACCAAGATGAATCAAGCTAAAAAGAATAAGAGAGATAGGAAAAACAGGCAGCGTGATTAAGTCGCTCGCAAAGGTCCCCAAGGGAGAAGCCACAAGCGAAGACTCAGACCTGGACTGCGTCGATGAAGGTACATGAAGTGTCAACTCCGTAAGAGAGAAGGAGCTGCTAGGGAGTCCCGCAAAAGGTACTAACAGAAGGCACACAAGGTGTGGAATACAGAGGACTACACAAAGAGCCACAGACATAGAGCAGCCCTACGAACCGGGAATATGTTCACCTGGTATGGGTCAGAGAAGCTGTATAAGCGGGAAAAATGTGGTTCGGAGTGATGACAACAATGCGTCGACCTCTAGGGCGGTAAGACAGAAAAGGTGCGACAACGGTTGCGACGAGCTGCGCGCTGGGAACGATTACTCTTGGCCTTCTGAAGCGAAACTATGCGAGATATATAGCTAGGCAATATCTGATGGTGGCGCTTCTCGATTGCAGTGAGCCCTAAGACAGATAATAAGGAAGATATACGCATTTCTTTCATGTGGCAGGTTTGCTTAATAGGGTAAAATGGGAGGCAACGACGACGCAACATTGAGCTGGTTAAAGAGAGTGGTACCTAACCTTCAAAGACTCGGTAATACGCACGCTTTAATCCAACGATACCAAAGCCTAAGGTATGAAATGTTTCGGAAACCTATAAGATGTGTTTTTGTATTAAAAAAAGTGTTCGAATGTAAAACTGAGATTCCCGAAAATCTCACTTTTATAAATGGATTTGAAGTAGAGGGGTTACGGCATTACCAAGGACAAATCTTAGGAAGAATAATTAGTTGACGGCATAAAAAGCGAAGTCTTCTAAAGACAAACTCTCTAACTCTCCACACAGAGCCTAAGACTGCGGGTACTACTCGGATATAAT